CACCAGGGCCCACGAGCTGCCCTTGGACGTGGCGGCTCCTCGTTAAGGTGCCCAGAACTGGTAATGAGGGTAATAAACCCGCCGTGGCCACCTCCGTGTGGGGTTAAAAAGAGCCTGAGAAATCTGGCCACGTTACTCAAGACAACTGTCTTGTGCTTTTTGTCTATTCTAAGCCTTTTTCTCTAAAGAGGTAAAAAGAATTACCTGTTAATATCACTAAAATCCTTCCACGCGTGGGGGATTAGGGAGGAGAAAGGACCAGGTTCCTGAACAAGTCGTTGGGTTTTCCCTTGCCTTAGCTGGGCTGTGGGCAGAGGAGAAATTGGCCCGGCTGGTCCCCAACCCGTCTTTGGGGACGGCAGTTCTTGGCTGCTGCTGCCTGCTCACAGCCACCAGCTTTGTGCCTGCCCAGCAGGGCGAGGGGCCCTGGCCCGCTGCTGAGAAGGGCTGCTTGGGGCAAGATCCGTGTTTTCCTTTTCCCCTTGAGGAAATGGAGAGTGTGAAAGGAGGAGAGTGCAGCCCTGCGGAGCTGCGCCCTGCCTGGGCTTTAGGCAGCCCCGTGCCTGAGCTCACGCTCCAGCATAGAGTAGGTTTGTCGTCAATAACGTATTAGATTGAGCAAAAATACACCTCGAAAAACACATCGGCTGGAGGAATAACTTTATTTTGATCGCAAAATTCCAGTTAGCACAGTAATCACAGTAGCAGGCTGAGGCTTTATCAGTAGCATTCTCAGGTTGGGGAACGTACGATTCTTAGCATGAGCTACCCTCATCTCCCATCATCAGTTTGATCCTGCTTGTACTGAATCCACAGTCCTACCCTCTTTTTCAGAGGGCTTTGCTGTACATGATCTCAGTCTGGTCTTCAGGCTGTCCGAGACAAATTTTACAATAAAGAAACGACAAACAACAAACTCAGACTTCTGAAGTAGGGGGATAACCCGTCCTTTATCTGTTGCTATTTTCTACCACCTCACACTTTTAGATAGCTTAGCCTTCATGCACACAAGGCACATGAACTGTATTGCCTCATCAAAGGTAAAACCCCTGTAATTTTGATTTAAACAAATAAACTCCTGCCAGAGGAGGGTAATTTGAGCCCCTGGCAGAGCTGAACTGAATAAGATTGAGGCCCAGCAGTCTAAGTAAGGCTATGCAAGCAAAAAGAGACATAAGAACACTTAACATTTTTTCTTCAAAATATTACTGAAAGAAATCAGTTTAATCAGTTTAATCAGTTTAATTTTTAGTTGATGATTTATACAGAGGCTAGAGCCACAATTATATGATGAAGAATAATCATGATGATAATGATTTATAATGGACAAGAAAAGCCTAATTAAATTATCAGGAGAAATGACTAGGGAAAAGTAAAAGCTGGGTTGTCCGGAAGACTGCTCGTGTATCCTGCAGATGGCCTATGGCATGAAAACAATTCCAGGGGGGCAGCTCTGGAAGAAATCCTCCTCCTCACGGGGTTTCCTCAAGGCCGGGTGAGGCCTGTGCGTAAGTCGCTGGGGCAGTTCCGAGGCCCTCGCCCAGCCCCACGGGCTGCCTGGGCCGCTGCTCCCGGCTGCGCTGAGCACCGAGGGAAGGGCTGCAGCTCGGCCTGCAGCAACCGGACGGCACCGGCGCCGCGGCACAGGCCCCGCTCACGGCCTGACGCCAAGGGTAAAGTGCTGGAGTCGGGGCAAGTTCTGCTACGGTTGCAATCAAACCTGGGTTTCATCTCTTCCTAGGCTTCCTGTCACACCTGCTTTCCTTATCATGGCGGTTATTTAGTGGTAGTAACTTTGCATTTGATCAGCATTTGCTCAGCTAAAGCAAGGTTAAACATATTTGTTTCGTGCAGAAAGTTCAGGAAAGTCTTCAGGTAACAGAACATGAACACGACAGATGGGGCAGGTACTCGAATGTTCCTTAAGCCACGTTCCAACGCACTGCAAGAAGAGGGAAATTCAGAAAACAGCTCAAGTCTGGTGAAAAGAGCTCACCTTCAGTCGGCTGATATTTAGCATTCATAATTCTGATGCTGTGCTAATCAATCTACATTGGTGCCTATTTTCAATAACAAATAAGCAGTACACAAATGTGTCAGTGGATAAAGATCAGTAACAGCAGTAACAAATTATTAAAATATACTTTTTTTTTTTAAACTACACAAAGTTGCATATGCAGCTACTATCAGGTGACAAATACAAGTTTTATAGTGCTAGCCCATGCTTTAAGTATTCTTCAAACAGAAAGCTGGGACTTGATTAGCAACCAGTCTGACTGTGCCCCTGAAGAGGAAACTTAAACTCATTCTGATCAGTTATTACTTTGGGTAGAGCTAAACACCCAAACTGGACACTTAACAAGACACAGAGTAGAGCAATTCCTGGTGTACAGACTACATAAAGGAAACCTCTGTGTCCTTTGTACACATTTCAAGTGCTCAAGGGTAGTGGTTTTCTTTTGGCTTTTAGGAAATGGGAACAATTGTGCATGTAAGCTCCCACAGAGAGGAGAACATAAAAATCCTTACTTCTCTGTGAAAACGATGCCCACATTCTAGCTCACACGAGTCTCTGCCTCGCTCCTCGTGACATATTATGCAAGGATCATCGTCGGAGGCCTGTAACAAAGTGTTATGTCATTGGGAAGCTCTCACGAGTTAATCACCCAACTCCAGTAAGCTAATGATTATAATGTTACTAAAGGTTCCCCCACTCCCCCGACACCCTTGGGTTACTCCATGTCTCATATTAGCTACAAACAGTGTGTGTCAATAACTTCAAGGCCAGTGAAAGAGTAGAGAACTTACCAGATCATCTGATTTTTTCCATTTGGATCTGGATGTTGCTCCAACGTTTCCCCATGGCTGGGAATTGGGCCGAGATGGATACGGGTTTTTACTGGGAGCACTTTTAGGTCTTGCCTTGGGTGGGCTGGGTACAGTTTGTTCTGCAGCTACTGCTTGAGCTCCGTTCTGTCCTAGCGCCGCAGGAGACACCGACTTCACAGCTCCCCCCACTGAAGCTGGTGCCTAGACAGGTAGCGGAAAACAGTTTTGAGCAAGTTTCTATCCCAGAGCCAGACAGTGACATTTTGGGCTCTTCTGGACTCTGCCACGCTTGTTTACTGGCAGAGCTGCACATAGAAACATCCGAAATATCAACACATTACCTTATTTTGATGGTCCAGAATGAGTTCTGTCACCCGACTAAGGATCTCCTCCAAGCGCAGACTTGACAACGTGTTTCCATTTTGCATTCGTACTTCTTTTATGAAGTTGACAAAGTCTGAACTGAAAGACGTAAATGATTCCAGCCTATTAGTATGATGGTTCTTGGGTTAATCTTAGTGCTAGAGAACACTGCCTCCTCCATGTCTGATTCATACCAAGAGAGCCTTTAAAATACATTAACTTTTCAAATACAATGCAACCCCGCCTGCAAGCACCTGCTTCCACACTCCCCTAATAGGTTCTAGGCAATGTAACTGTGTATAAAAAAAATCTAAAATATTAAACTGATGGTTTCAGTAAAAAAAAAAAAAAAGTCAACACTGTAAACCTATTCCCTTACAGCCCATCCCCACAGGAAGAACAGAACCCCTTCCTCCTCCTCTCCAAAATTACCCTTCTCATGAAACATCTACTAGAACACAAGACGTCTACTCAGAAACACATTCTTTTGTATGTTATCACTGGAGGTTTAGAAAGTTTTGCTACTAAGAAATGCATTAAAAATACCTGCTATAATTTGGGAAAATGGGCTGTAGGCTTGCAATGATGGTATCGAATGCTTTTGGAAGCGTTTTGTTGTTGGGAAGTCCGGGCGGCCTCGGCTGTGCGGCCGCGTCCCCGGGACGGCTGTGGCTCGGCTGCCCGTTCTGGGGAGCCCTTCCAGGAGCACGGGACGGACCAGCTGCCGAGACTTTATTGG